TAGAAAAATCATTGATAGTCTAGTAGACAGAACAAAGAAACAACAGGAAGTAGCAGTGTCTAATAGTCTCTGTTTCTATCAAAGTGACCTGCATGTAATAAACCCCAATTAGCACACTGACTGCCACACTAGAAAAAAAATTTTTTCCCTAGGGCCATAGTGTTTTATTAAAACAAAATGATCCCTTCTAATTTGTTATTTTTTATTGTTTTCTACACGTGAGTTATATGTAACGCAATCCACATTTTTAGAATTAAATTGTCATATTAACTGTAACAAAAAGAACATCAACAAGTAAGATTTTCATGAACTAACTGCAGGGTTTTGCTTCACAAGGCCCCAGGTTCAAAACTAGCCTGAATTAAATACAACTCACAAGGCAGTCAATGTGTTAAATGTTATTCTACTGACTGAAACAAATAAACAAATAGATTGTAAACTGGAACCAGATTTTGGAGGGCCTTGAAAGCTAAGCTATAGTTCTTTTCTTCAACCTAAAAGCAATGGAGCACCATTAAAAGGGAGAAAAGGAGGGCAGGTAGGTGGTAACGGGCAGATTACCATTTATTAAAATAGTACTTCATGTTAGGATTCTGCTAAATGCTTAAAGTATCACGTTTTATTCTCACCAATATGCTGCGAAGTAATTATTACCATCACCATTTTACAGGAGAAAAACAGATTAAGCTACTTGCTTCAAGTCTAAGATCAAAGTTCATGTAGGACCTTCCCACTGTGTCACATGAATGAGTGCAATGATTAAAGCTGTACTTTGGAAAGATCACCGTATTTGTCTATTTCCAACTTCAATGAATGTACTCTTACTTCTAATATTTCTGAGTTTATTATATATTATAAAAAATGATTTAGGAATAACAAAAGCAAGTATTAAAAGCATTTCTTTTATATGTGGATTATGACAATGGACTGGTGGCACCTGAATAATGTCTGGCCCTTCCTGTGCGCTTGAAATCAACTTTATACTCTTTTACTTAAAATATAATAGCACTCCTCTCTTTACCTACAGACAATAATTCTCTCCCTCTTGAGAGTCAGCTTGATTTAGCTTTGACATCTAAGTCCTAGAATGACAATGACCACTTTAGAACTGTTGAGAAATTTGTTACCTTGAACAGGACAGTGTTTCTCTAAATAAAACGTCAAACTAGTACCCATCAGCATGTGACAAAACAAATAAAGCTGGTCATGTGAATGAGTTCTAAAATTTTCTGGAATAAAATACTGTATGTGCCATATGATAATCATAGAGCCTGAAGTATTATTGCATTGTTAAGTGGTGGGATGCAATACTTTTAATTTAAGAACTTTCAATTCACTAAGTACTAATTAGATGCCTAAAATTTACTAGTGTCATGAAGACACAAAGATGACTAGGATACAATACCTAGTGAAAATTTAGGGTCTCTAAAAAGCAACAGGGAGCTGAGAAATGCCACTATCATCACTTTGGGCTTGAAGAATATCTCTATGAAAAAAAAATCTTCAATTCTGAAAAACAATTATTCCATATTTTCAGTTACATGATTTAGGGAGGAATGTATTACCAATTGTATAAAGCAAATTATAAAACTGAAACTCACCTTTTTCAGAGGGGTAGATTGCCTCATATCATATAGTACTATATTCCTGTCAGAGGCACAGCTTCCCAAAAGAAATGTCTAAAATTAAGTACAAGAATCATCTGTTAAAAGCCAGGCTTGGCAGCAAACCATGTCCATTTAGTGAACAAATGATTTAATTACCCTTAATATTTATGTTAAAAAGCAAAGCTGTACCATTAAAGTTCATTTTAAGAGGGTACAATAATCCGTAATCTCAGCAACCCAAGTCAAGTCTGTTCATTGTTAAATCCCCATGCATGTATTTTAGATGCCAGTGATGGTAGAGTATAGATAACATGGTCTTCTAATTTATAATAGAACATACTTTATTTATCCATTCTTCAACTTAGACTTGTTTCCTGTTTTTTACCATTGTAAGTAATACTTCAATGAACATTTTCATACATTTAGCTCTTCTTCTTTTGCATTCATTTCCTTAGGATAAAATTTCATGAGTGATATTACTAAATGAAAAGGTATGAACAATTTTACAGCTTCTGATATTTAGGGCAAACTATTTTCCAAAGAGTTGTACCAATATACACTGTAATGTGTCAATTTTAATGCAATTGGGCAGCATTAGGTAATGTCATGTAAAAGTTAGTATCTGTGTGAAA